AAGTCAATATTCATGAGTAGTCTATGATACTAAATGAATATTATGCTAACCAAAGTATACATAACTATGTAAAAAGTACAAATGGATATATGTACATTCTGCACCCCCTACAAGCCATGCATGCATGCATTAGTTATTATTATATTTACATTTCAGGTGACAATAGAGTGTCCAGAAGTCCAAGTGTTAATAGTGTACTAGTGGATCAGGCAACTCCTGGAGGACAAGTCAGCTTTGAATTATATATTTTTATTTATTCATTTTCTATATTAGTCTGTTAGATCAACGCGTAATAATAAACAGTCAGTGACACCAGGGGCAGCATCATCACTAGGTAATAATGATACATTGTTATCTCTTTTATGTTTCATTTTACAATTCATGCAGTATGTTCAAGCAGTGTTGCCCCTACTCCCAGTAAATCAGGTATCAAGAGATCAGCCCCTGACTCATCATCAGCAGTACTGGAACATAACATACCACACAGGTCACCTTGATAGCTTTACATTATGTATTTTATTATTATTATTATTATTATTACATGTAGGTGGGTGATTAAGTCTGGTGCATTCCATAAGAGTCATTCCTGTTCCACTTGTTCAGGACCAATCAAACACACACAGAAATATGCCAAATGTGCATGTAAGTATATACATGTACAATAGAGAGAGCATGTTGTAAGCAATAAGGTTGATGGTTTACATTCCTTTAACCACATGACCATCACTCAGCAGTCAGTGTATGTACACTTGTACATTTACTTGTGTATGGATTGTGTGTCAGTAGTTGATTAGTTGTAGTTCTTGTTACATAATCATAACTGATGTCATGTGATACATGAATCATGTCTATACATTGTACATCATATGCATCTCACCAAAGTCACTGTTCATGACAGTGCAATGAGTGCATGCACTTTAATGCTCCTTTAAATTTAATTTTCCCTTGGACGTATTTAGCTATGCAACATCAATGAAACAATTTTACACAGTCAATCAATTATTCCCCTCTTCCTTTAGACTGCAGTTTTGTTGTTCATCAGAAATGTACCAGTAACACTCCTAACTCATGCGGCCTCCCCCTTCAACTAGCAGCTCACCTCTACCCCACCTCGCCCTCTAAAAGACAATGCTCACAAGCAATGGAGGATGACAACAAAGAGAATGCATCATTTGTTAGTACTTCATCAATGGACAGCAAAATGAGACGTTTGTCCATTGATCTGGTACGCTGCAACAGTTCCATCATGTCTACTGGAACTGATCTGTCTATAACCTCATCAATGCTTGCTTCCAATGACAGCAACGATGACAGTCTTGTCTGAATCCCATGCACCAGTCCTCTCTCTCTTTATATATAAATACTATACACTCAAAGATGATATGACATTACATAACGTATTAGTAGGTAGAAAGTCCCTATATAGTGTTGCATTACACTGCTTGCATGGGTAATGTTGGACACTATAGTGATTTATTATAATAACAAATCTCATTTTTACTTTCATAATGATTTCAAAAACAGTATATATATATATACTGAGTATAATAAAACCAATAATACTGATTCATACAACCAATAATACTGTGATTAATAATACACATACATGTACATATATGTCACTCAGTTAGTCTCTCTCACTGAATGCCTTTGGTGTAGGCAATGGCCAATAGACCAGCACACTCAATAATCCTATTATGCCAAACACACCAACCAATACTAGTGATGTAGCAACTAAGGGGGAGAGAGATAAGGAAATTAGGACATGATCTTGGAATGTGTTTGTCTCTCCTCACATTAGCAATTCTCTCTGTATGTATTGTATTTATTGCATGCTCACTGAACATGCATCTGTTGTTGGCAAGGCTATAATGGGCAGTGTAAATTAGTCAATGTCTCTGTCTCTTTTAGGAAGTATTCAATTAGTGTGTTGACAAATTTCTAGTCACAAACAATAATAGTTGTTGGGTGTGGCCTCACTTGGATCCAATGGGAAGAGATAACCGTATGGACTGAAGGTGAAAGTCCCGTTTAAAACTCCCTCTACCTCCTGTCTGTGTCTCTCAGCCTCTTCCCCACTAACAGAGTAACATATGCACAGGGAAAGGACTAGAAGGAATGATTTCATCTTGACTAGAAGACAGACGACAGTTCTACAAACAGCAACAGAGGATAAAGGTGGGGCTCGAAGTTCAATTAGCTAGTCATGTGATGTCTATGAATATGATTATGACAACAGTTTTGTAACTTTTGTTACTAAAAATAGCACAATGTTCTGGAAATAACTGCCGAGGGAACAAAGCAATTCCCTTTAAAAATGAAAAGAAGCTGTCAAAAGTGACTCACATAATATTTTACAATGGCT